TCCGGTTATAATCACACTCATCACAGCACGTCAGCAAAATACACTAAATTTGCGAAAATGAATGACAATCATCTACCCCTTTACACGCAAATAAATCACTCACTTTTCGAATAAACAATATCATCTGGTTTGTTGAGATTCAGTTATAGTTACATTTTGAGCAGCAAATTTGTCCAGGCTCAGGTTATCAAGGATGAAGAGTAAATGAAGCTGAAGAAATTTGAGCTCATTTGACTCGATAAACTTGATACAGTTCCTGAAAAGGTGTTTTACAAATTGATGCAGACGAAATAAGAGTAAATTGAGCAAATCCACACCTTGAAGCAAGCGCTGGTGGCAAATTGGTGTATAATAGTATTTCTGCTTCCTTTTAAAATGTTTGGCGATATGATAAAAATAATGAAAATGATAAAAGGGATGTTTTTCAACTTCTACTAATTCTATCCACTTCTAAGTTCTACCTAAACAACTGCAAGTGGTAGTAAATGATGTTGAGGTTGATGATAAAAGACGATACCTTTGCTGAAGACTTTAGAGTTAATTCAATAATTATAGATTGTCTCGAAAACATTGTCCCAGACGAGGTGCAATGGTCATTGCCTGCATGAATAAATTAGCATTATTTCTTACTTATGGGTGAAGTTCATGAAATTTGTTAATTTGCTCTTTAGGGCTTAAAATGTATAACAATGTTGAACATGCATAAAATGTACCTTCCATGGGATGCCTTTAAATTGGTAAGATGTTCTTTACAGAAGACGCACAGAATCCGTGGATTAATGTATACTATAAGTATATTCTACGGAGAAGGTGAATGCGAAACTGGAGAAGAAAGTGCAAGTGGTCGCCACTGAACAAAGATGCAGAAAAATCATATTTAATATCATAGAAATTATACTGAATGCAATTCCAAATCAAAATTAATTCCTGGGTTTCAGTCATTTATTGTCTCTATTTATCAATTAAAATACTTTTCGGTGTATTTTTCCACCATCATCAGTTTTTCTAAAATAACAGATAGTTAAAAAAAAATTTCATTAATTTAAAAAACAATCACAGTTCGTCAACAGCCTCATCATATCACACACTAAAATACATCACAATTGCAACACTTTAAAACATTCTAAAATTAATTAGGCCTAACAGGTGATTAGTCAGGACATTCAAATATGGGAAGAGACTAGAATTATTTGTTCAGATACTTAAATATTGTTACTTACATGTGTAGCGTTGTTGCTACTTTAAGCCTTGGCATATATTTGGAGTATTAATTTTGTCCATTTTGGACACAAAGCGAAATACTGTTTATATTGATTTCTTCAACTTGAAAGGGAAGTATATACACTGAATGCAATACAAAGCAACGATGAAGAACGTATGGAGTTTAAATGAAACAAGCACTAACTCCAGGCCTGAAACATAATTTTTCTTTGGCAGTAAGCTCCGATATGAGATCGAAACATACTTGCAAATTATGAACATATTAAGGAAATCTGTGCTAAAACTGATTTTTTGAGCTTTGGTATAGAACTCCAATATGTGTTTAAGATGTCTAATAATTTTAACGTATAAAAATAAATATCAATATAAGAAAATTAAATTTTGAAACATGACACTATTTACAAACATGTAAAATAATATTTTAATTTCAATTGACTTTTTAGGGTCACCTGTTGCTTCTACATAGAGTAAAAGATCATCTGCTATAGAAAAAAGATCGTTCAAAATGTGTGATTTGGTTTTCGTTAATTTTTTCGTTTATTTGAGAATTAAGTATTTTATTTAGCATTTTTTTGTACTCTCTGCATATAGCCAGACAACAATTCTTAGGATCAAAAAATCAAAAATAGATAGAGAAAAATAGATGAAACCATTATTTTAATGCAAAATAGAGCTGCTTTACAGTTTTACCGATCAAATTTTTAACTGCAGTTTCTTAAATATTGTGTTATAAACAACCATTTTGCAACTCTTTTGCCAACAAGAGCACCTGATATTAACCCACTGGATTTACTATGACTGTATGAAAAAAAATTGTATCAATAATGCATATAATCTAAGTTTAATAAATATCAATAATAATAAAAAAGAAAATTCAAAGTGGGATTAGTCCCCCTGCGTAACTGATGCACTTCCATAAGAGCTCAGAATGTTGACTTTTTACTTCCTGAATAGAAGAATATTGTTGTGTTTATAGATGAAATTTCAAAACTTTTCAGTTCTTTGCAACCAAGTCAGCTACAAAAAAATTGATAAATTGCTTAGCAAAACTACAAGTTATGTTCAGAAATCCATATTGCATGTGAAAATGTTGCCGCAGAGCAACTGAGAATAGTAATAACAAACATTAAATAATTGTATTGGTAACTTAATTGGAAAAAAAAACAGAAGATTAGTGGAAGCCACCACAAGTCAGCAACAACGCTACACATAAAAACTGATGATGGTGGAAAAATACACCGAAGCGTATTTTGATTGATAAATAGAGACATTAAATGACTAACACCCAGGAATGAATTTAATGGATAATTCATACATTAATTAACATTCAATACAGCCTTTGGTTGGTGTGTTTTTTAATAACTTCGGCCCATTTTTCTGGTTAAACTTTGCAAATTAAACCTTTCTTATCAATGTTTTATATCAATTTTCTCTTGACGACAGTATTTTACAAGCGTATTGGTTTTAGATTGTTAACAGACTAATGAAACAAAATGTGTGCTCGAAAGCTCCTAATGAGACATTTCGTAAAATTTTCAACTGTTTCAGTTTGCAAAAGTGAATATCAGGGTGAAATTGAAATAATTTTTTTTTATTATGAAGCGAACAAAAGAGCTGATGTGTATATATATCACAGTATAATACAACGACTAATTATTATGAACAAAAAAATCGTTCTTTCATCGGCGAATTTATTATGGCCGTGGCATTTTGCAAAAGAAACATTTTTCAACCCTATAGTATCGCAACACGCTTCCGTTCACATCGTATTTCTTTTCTAACCGAGCGCCATTAATTTAAAGGCCTCTAATTGCACCAGCTTTCAGATAATAAAGTATTCTATGAGAAATTAACGTTCAAAATCACAACGAATCCCCCCAAAACGAGACCGAATGATGTATAAGGCGCTCAACGGATACAAATTCCATTTGTGAGCTCTGTTTCCTGGTTTATCTTTTACTGATCATTCATTTCGGTTGGACGTGATTTTCCCAGTTAATTAAAGTTCTCTTCAGCACCGATTGGCTGCTCTCTTGGCTTGTGTCGATTTTACATCGCTCAATGTCAGCACGGTACTGTTCAGCCAATTGATGATGATATTTTCAAAGGATTAATCATACTGTTGGCCTTAATCAGTCATGGGCTCGTTTTCAAATTCGATTCCGAATTAAATGTGTCCTTTATAACAGGTAGATCGTCTAAGTCTAAATTCTACTCAAATAATTCAAGTTGCTTTTGGAATTGTTTTCTCGATCATCGATGCATGTTTGAATAATTCAGTTTGACTGCATTTGCATTTACTAGTTCTGTAATAAAGTTCTCAATATATTTTAGACAAGTTCTACATTGCTGCCTTGATTTTATAGATATTTTTCTTATAAGGTGGATAAAGGGGAATTCTTTCTAAGGTGATATATTTTCTTTGCGTTATATATTGGCGATGCAAAGTAGAATTGAAAGGAGATTTACTTAATGGTTTTCTGCTTAAATATATTTAACATTTTCTGTCGCAGAAAGCGTGAAAAGATTTTTGAGGAATACTTAACAGTTCCCGATGTGTTTGTTTCCAATATCTAAAATTTCATTTTTGCAAGACTCAACATTTTTTGTCCCTGTTGTGTGAAAATAAAAATAAATAAATAGAATTAAATAGATTTCTCACAATTAAAATTTTTCTTTATTTTGATCTTGACTCTAAAATTAATCAAAACTTAAAAAAGTTGCTTCCAACCAACCAAGTTTTAATTCTGAAGACCAGATTCAACCTATTTCTAATGCACTCAGGCCCAGGAAATTGTAAAGTATTGACTAGAACTTGAAGTAGCTAAATTTTGAGTTTAAGCCAATAGATGTTAATTACGCTCCTTATGGAGGATTTGCGTATCGATGAATGCCTTTATAGCAAAACCAATAAGTATATTGCATGCGAAATGCCGGCGACGAAGATGCAAATTACCTTAAGCTCTTTTAAATGGCGGTTCGAAGCTTCTATTGTTTCAGGTTTCTCGGGTATTAAGAGATGCACTAATGCCGTACTCGTTCTGAATTATGCATGTGATTGAACTATTTGCTAGAGTGTTTTCTGTGTCCTTCGATCGCAAGCTAACACGGTTTAAGTGTGACAAAAGAGCCGAGATAAGGACAATAATTAAGACTCTAGAGACAGTTTTAAATTAATTAGGGATTAGTTTATTATTAAAATAGGAGAAATTTTGAAAAACATTTCTTAGAAATTCCATGGTAAACAATGATAAACGCGCATTGCAAAATCATCCGTAGGAAGAAGAAACACGTTAGGAATGTGAAATGCTCAGAAATACACTCTAACTACCATACATACTTGGATTAGTTTGTAGTGAAACTGTCCCCTTCGTTTCAAAAAATGCTTTGTTTAATGTATTTAATAATTTTACTGGCAACGTTTTTCGTTTTCATGTTTGCACGTTTTTTCATATTAGAAACAAGAAAGCTCCGTAAAATTCTCCAAACAAGGCACGCAGAAGACTATGAAAATATTGCACAATATTATTCAAAGAGTGTTTAAAAACAGGAAAATTTAACAAAGTCAACATTATTTTTATATTTAATGTTTTGTCGCTATTTAAATTCAGTTTTTTGTTCTAGAATGGATGTTACTCCCATCACAAAAATCGGTTCAAAAAATGTTCACAAAATTGAAGATTTTAGAGAGTAGTACTTGAGAAAAGTAAAGTATTCACTTTCTACATGAAGAACAACATCCGGAAATAAATATTTAATCTTCTGTGTCTTCTTCCCAGGTCATGGCATTTTACCACTAACAGTGCCATCCAATGCATCAGGGACTTGCATTCTTCAAACGCTGATAAACTGCACCACTAAAGATGGTCCTGCAAGCATTGAAGAAGATGACAATTGCGACTTGAAGAGTACATCTGAAATGCGAATAGTTGGTCCAGTTCGTGAAGTGATAATTCGACCAGCCAAACGCGCGTATCGACCAGAGGAAACAGGTAGGGAATACATTTTTATTTTCAATTATTTATTTGAAATACAAAAGAATATGAAATAAACTAATGAATAATGGTTCGGAGATGAGGGCGACACGTGTTATCCATTGCGAGTAGAAATTGCAAACATGCGCCCAGAAAGCCGCATCTGAATCCCATATATTTACTTGAAAAGTTTTACATTGAATCCTTTCCAAATGGTAATTCAGGAGACAATTTACTTTCGGATTAATACACCCTATATTTTTCCTAAGACTCCAAGGCATTATAAAAGTCAATAAATTGTACTTCTTTATCCCTGAACTTAAAACGTTAAGGTTAAGCAATTTAAATTTTAACAGCTTCTTATGGTGTTTTATTATTTTACCTTAAAATACTGTTTTTCCTGCTTCATTTACTCATTTTCTGTATATTATATTTTATATAGCCTTTTATGAAACAACGTTTTTTTAAAAACCAATTTATTTTTAAACTCGATCATTTGAAATTATTATTGATGCTTGTTCAAGATGTTTCTTCGTTATTTTCGTTTAAACTCATTGAACAAACAATCGAAAAAAACACTCTTCCAGGCATAAAACCTGGGACAGAAGCTTGGACCAACTGAAATTAAACGAGATTTATAGTAGTTTTCTAATGTTGTGCTTCCAAGTGGGTTTTAATATCGAGTTACTTAACGGGTAACGGGGCTACAATATGAGATACTGCAAACATTCGAATGTTTAACTTTCAGTAACTTGACCACGGTTTAAAATGAAAACAAAACAAACAGCCACTAATGTACCGGAACATAAAAGCCAAAACATTCAAGAAAAATAGGAAAAGGTTACAGATGGCTTGCCCTAAATTGTGGTAATTAACAGCAAAATTAATCGATCGAAAAAGTAAAATTATCCCCCGGCTTCAGCAAAGGAAACCAAATATGAAATGTAATTTTGAATGCGAAGCAACAAAGTAAATAGCTGCACTTGATTTTCGATGAGCTTTGCAAGTTTTACGTTGCCAAGCAAAACATATTATTTTTAGATATTAATTTCTGCAACAAAGCTCAATCGCATACAGTTCGACAAAGGTTCATTTCGGTGAAAATTAAATGTCGCTTTTTAGGTAGTAATTGGATTTTCAAACTGAAAACCGAGAATTTACAAAAGACCTTTGCCATGTAAATTTGATGTTGTTATTCACGACATGAAAAACTATATTGAAAACACTGATAAAATAAAATGCACACTAGAAATATTTAAAGGACCTTTAAACATGTAACAAAAATTTGAATAATTTTTCAGTTCTTTGCAATCTCGTTACGTGGTATTTGCAAAGGAAAACATAATAAGCCCTAGAGGCAGGTTGTAACATAAAATCAATATATTTTTTGTTTGAATTTTACTTGAGCATAATGAATTAAAATTCCTCATAGCGTTGTCTTTCTTAGGAAATTTACAATGGAGTTGATAATGTAATAAAAAATTTAATTTTTGAGGGTGAAAAGAAAAATGTCTTCTTATCATTGTCTTTCTTGTCGTTTCTCACTAATTTCCTTGTACAGAACATGTATTGAAGACAACCTTGTTTGGCATAATATATTCTAACTACGGAGTATACAAATACAGTAGCTATTTTATCATT